TCGACATGTGGTTCTCGATGTTTGCGACCACTATGGCCGCTTCGCGGTGCCGCTTCAGAGGTCCTTGTGCGGTTTGGGCATCTTCCTTTTGCGAATCCGATCCGCTCGTCGGGTAACGTAGTCGGAGTCCGTGATGTACTAGATCTTCTTGTGCGGCTGCAGGTACTCGAGCATCTCGACCATCGCTGTGAGCTCGCCTCGGTTGACACTGCCGCCAAGCCGCCAAGCCCCTCGGCCGCCCATGGTGAACCTGCCCTCGTTCAACTCCGAGTTGAGTACGATCCAGCCCCACGCGATCCTTCTCGTCCTTGGGTCATCGGTGTTCTCGCCCCCAGATGCGTCGCCTGCCGAGTAGACCCACTCGTTGACGTCCATGTGGGCCTCTCCGACCACGTCGCGCAGCTCTTCTCCTGATTCAGGTGGTGCCGTGACCTGCGTCCAGCTCTTGGGTGCACTTGCACTTCCACATGCGATGCTCCCAGGTCTCTGGCTCCTCTTGCACCTGTGGCATAACACGCTCTCGACCTCGATTCCCAAGTCGGCGACCCGCTGCCGCGGCCAGATACCACTGGTGCAGATCGCCTGCATGGCCCCGACCTTGTCGAGCTTGCCGCTCTGCTTCGTGAGCCTTCTCAGCAAGTTCCTCGCGGAGTGGAGGTTCGCGCCTTCCTCCAAGCCTTTCCCCGCGCAGTGCTCCGCTGCCTTGGCCCACCGCCTCCGCCCGGCGGTGTCTGCGAGCATCGCCCTGAGCTCGCTGGTGTCCACCTCGTCGTCCAGATCCTCGGGGTCGTCGCCTCCGAAGACCTCGCCGCTGCCTCCTCATCGACTCCCTTCCTCGATCCTCCTCCTCCTCCTCCTCCTCCTCCTCCTCCTCCTCCTCCTCCTCCTCCTCCCCCTCCCCGTCCTCGTCCTCGTCCTCGCCCTCGTCCTCCTCCTCCTCTTCCTCTTCCTCCTGATCCTCCTCTTCCTCCTCCTCCTCCTCCTCCTCCTCCTCCTCCTCCTCCGTGAGGTACCCAGCCCAGGTCCAGCAGCGTGCAGACTATCGCCCTGGCGACTCCTGTAACTCCTCACATCGATCTCTCTCCTCCTTGGCCTTCACATCGTCTTGACGATTCTTTCCCATATCAGCTTAGCTTTGCGCCTCCTCTTGCCCTCGCTGATGATATGCATCCATGAGTCCGGCAGCGAAATGACCGCTCCGTGCCCAGGGTCGCCTCGCCCCAACTCCTAGCTGCAGCAGAGTGGTGAGGCACCTCCCGCTCAGCCGAGGCGCGATCACGCCTGCACGCCTCCTCCTCCACTTGGCGATCACCGAGGGCGCCATGCCGAACACCTTGCACGCGTATGCCGCCCGTGGTGGCGATCCTCTATGCACCACTGCACGCGCTCCGCCTCGAGCCTTTCGCCCAGCTCGGAGTATCCTCGAGGCCTTCTCTACCTGTCTGCCCGCGTGCGGCGTTCCCTTCGCGTGCTTGCACTTGCCCTTCGCGACGTTGCCCCCGTCGATCCCGAGGTCGGGCGCCTGGTCCTTCAGCGTGACCGTGATGTTGCGACTCTTGAGCTTGAGCGAGATCTCCTGAATCACCTCCTTGTCGTTGCCTATGGCGGCTGACTTCTTGGACAGCACCATCTTCGCCTTCTTGACGCCTGCTGCAAAGTCCACCCCTGCCCCCGTCAACTGCTTGATCACCTGGGCCTTCGGCTCTTCCATCATCGTGGTGACGTCGTCGACCCACGAGCGCATGTTCACCCGTGTGAGCTTGTGGCTCACCTTCTCGAGCACCGCGTACAACGCGACCCTGCCGAAGTCGATCCCCCTCCTGGCGCCCGCGCAGATGGAGCTCTCGTGGGCGATGGGCTCCGCGTGCGCCGTCCTCTCCCTGACGAGCCTGCTGCTCTCAGGCGGCTGAGCATCTCCAGGTGCAAGGTGCGCGCTGGCGGCCCAAGCCTGACCCCTTCGTCCAAGACCAGCACTGGCTCCAAGGTGCCGTAGAACCAAGCGCGCCCTCGAGGGCGCGAAGTTCTTCGCGCTTCGCGCTTCGCGGTTCGGCTCCGATTCCTCATCCTCCTCTTCTCCCCTGGGAGGCGGCGCGAGAGCGCGAAGTGATTCGCACTTCGCGCTTCGCGCAGCGCGAAGCGCGAAGTTGGGAGCCCCTGAGTCCCAGAGCGCCGTGGCCACGTAGATCCCCGGTGGCGCCCGCTGGACGACCTCGTCGGCAAGCGATTGAGCCAGGGCCTCCTTCGGCGCGCTGCTGCCTGCGATGGCCGCGCCCCGCTTGCCTGCCACCGCCTTCGCCCACTCGATGGTGTACAGGGGAAGCCCGTGCCAAGAAACGCCCTGCTTGCCTCCAGGGTGCCCTGGGCTTCTTTTGTTTCGATGGTTTTGCTATGGAGAGCGTGGCGTTCTCACACTCAAAATCAGTGGACGTCCTGGGGTCTCAGGATTGGGGTTCTTGTGGAAGGTTTCTTGTGGTCGAGCTCCTGCTGTACTCAGTGCGCA